TGCTCACACACAGTCTGCCATGCTCTGTGCAGTGAACAACAGGATTCATCTGTGGAGAACCTCTTCAAGGTGCCAGTTACGACGACGAGCTGCAGTCAGGTGGAGACACTGGTTGACGAGCAGCAGATGAGATCCCTCACACAGTTTCCGACAGTTTGTGCAGAAACTCTTTGCTTATCCAAACAGACTGTTGCAGCAGCTGTCCAGGTGTCTGGCCTCAGACGATCTTGGAGGTGAAGATGCTGGATGTGAAAGTCCTGGGCTGGTGCGGATTGCACGTGCTCTGCAGATGCGAGGCCGGTTGGATGTACTGCCAAATTCTCTGAAACTCCGTATGGCAGAGAAATGAACCTTCAGTTCATGAGCAACAGCTCTGGTGGACATTCCTGCAGCCAGCATGCCAACTGCACGCTCCCTCAAACCGTGCAACATCTGTGTCAGCGTGCTGAGACGAAACTGCACATTTTAGTGGCCTTTTATTGTGGTCAGCCTAAGGCTCACCTACGCAACATTCATGCCGTCTAATCAGCACCTTGATCTGCCACACCTGAGGTGGATGGATTATCCAAAGGTAATGCCAGGCCGTTCATGAAGCGCAGCAGTGTTAGTAAAATACTAGAGGTTCACACGCTGGCATTTGTTTTCTGCAGGAGGCGTTTGTTTTGCTCTCATGTGCCGAGACGTGTATCGTTTCATTCAATTATTTATTCCCTAAAACAAACATAACAAGGTTATCTATAAGGGGATAGACTGTTTTGAACAAAACGTGAAGTTGTGGGTCTGAGATGTGAACAATACATTTTTAATCAATTTACAAAGATGTGCAAATCATTTTTACTTGATCAATGTTTGTTACTGAGGTGTGGTCTGAGCTGCAGTCGGCAGCACGAAACAAGAAACCTACAGTTTTGTGACTTTTATGTCTAACTTTAGTTTCAGTTTCAATAAACGCCCCACTGAAATGTAAACACATTTATTAGAAATACAAACACTTTACATGGAAACAAATAATGGCACAAGTGTTTTTCTTTTTTGTTTTCAACAGAACAATTAAAAACAGTCAATAGATCTTGGTCATGTTAAATCCAGATGCACTGACAGATGTTTGAAGGTAGTGGAAGCTGCTGGACGTTTCAGCTCTAAATGAGCGGCGAGGGTGAAACAGCATGAACGATGTTTTTAGATGATTTTTCCAGCTCCAACAACTCGGTGTGAAAATAATAAATATGTGACGCTACAGCAAATCCACTGACGTGATAAGAGGAAGGTCTTTGACTCAGTGGGGATGATAAGTTGATAAGACCCAACGTTAAGGAGCGAGAGCCGTGGACCGGGCAGAACTTCGACGGAGCCAGGAATCCAGATTCAGCAAATCCGTTGAATTTGATCCGATTATCTAAACAAAACAACAACAACAAAAATGGCTGAATTTATCTGAACATTGCTGAAAACAGAAACATTTACAAACTACCGTATATTCCGGTGTAAATGTCGCACCGTCCTTTAAGTCTCATCAGTCCAAATACACGGCCTGGCCAAAAAAAAAAAACCAAGGGCACACACTAATATTTGGTTGGACCGCCTTTAGCTTTGAATACATCATGCATTCACTGTGGCATTGTTTCGATAAGCTTCTGCGATGTCACAAGATCTATTTCATCCAGTGTTGCATTCATTTTTCACCAAGATGACCGTGACCCCATCTCTCTGATCTGCTACAGCCGTATGTCCCACCACGCTCCCTGAGGTCAGCGGACCAGTTGCTCCTCACAGTTCCAGGAACTCGTCTTAAGCGCAGAGGTGACAGGACCTTCTCTGTAGCAGGACCAAGACTTTGGAACGAGTTACCTCTGACAAGCAGAG